CTCTAGGGCCTCCAGCTCTAGTGCCTCCAGTAGCAGCACCCCCAGAACCGGTACCTCCAGCTCCAGGGTCTCCAACTCGAGGGTCGACAGCACCAGCTCTAGGGCAACCAACTCCAGTGCCCCCAGCAGCAGCACCCCCAGAACCGGCACCTCCAATTCCAGGGTCCCCAGCTCCAGCGCCTCCAGCTCCAGTGCCTCCAGCTCTGGCACCTCCAGCAGCAAGTGCCTCCAGCTCCAGTAGTGTGACTCCAAAGGCGGGTGCGCGAAGCAAGCCACTCGCGCAGCTGCTGCGGCGAGAGAGGCGACCGCTGCGACGCGGCGCCAAGAGGACCTCCAGCAGACTCAGCACCCCTAGGCTCAGCACCAACAAACTTCGTACCCCCCGAGCCAGCACCTCGAGGGCCAGCACCTCCAGCTCCAAGGTCTCGAACTACAACGCGCGGGTCTCCAGCTCCAGTGCCTCCAGTATTACGGACCCCGGCAGCTCGAGTATCTCCAGGACGAGCACCTCCAGGACCCTCAGTGCCAGCAGTACCAGTACCTCCAGCTCCAGCATTACCACCCGTCCTGGCAACTCCAGTACCTCCAGTACGAGCACCTCCAGAACCAGAAACACCAGCACTCCTAGTGCCTCCACGTCGAGCAGCTGCAGCAGCTCCAACCACCTCGAACTGCAGTACCTCTAGCAGCGGGACCTCCAGCTCGACCAGCACGATCCTCAGGCGGGTACGCCACGCAAGCCACTCTCGTAGCTGCTGTGGTGAGAGAGGCCCCCGTCGTGAAAGAGACCCCCAGACTCAACACCCCCACACCCGGCACCCTCCGGCTCAGCACCCCAAGGCTCCGCACTCGTAGGCTCAGCACCCCCAGGCTCCGCACTCGCAGGCTCAGCACCCCCAGGCTCCGCACCCCCTAGCACCTCACGTACAGGCTCAGCACCCCCAGACGTAGTACCTCGAGCAGCACCACCCGCAGCAGCACCTGAATCGCTAGTAACCTCTACAGGCTCAGCCAAGGGGAGTGGGTCTACCTGAGACACACCTGAAGGAGTAGGACCCTGAGGGGGGAGGGGGTCTACCGGAGGGGGACCTAGAGTGAGGAAAAGCGGCGGGGGAGGGAGAGGGGCAGTGCGGTGAGAGGGGAAGACACGGCGCAAGGTGGGGTGGTAAAACTGCCAGCCAGGCGCGTCAGGGACAAAGCCAATGAAGACACAGGGAATGGTTCGGGAGGAGAGCTTGTCCGTGGACGTATCGCGTACAAGGGCACGAGCACCCCAGACTTGGAAACGCGACGCATCGCCAACCTCTCCTGTCCAACGCAGTGTGGGCGAGGTCTCCGGCAAGGAGACACGAGGCCAGAGGTTGAGCTGCTGCGAGGCGTACCGGACCGCAAACGGCCACAGAAAATGGGGAGCCGCCGCATGGATCAAGGAGGTACGCGCGATCTCCATGACCAAGCCAATGTGGCGCTCAGCAACCCCGTTTTGCAGCAGTGAGCCCGGAAGCGTGAACGATTGCTCGATGCCCTCCCCTTGACAGAAGGCCCGCAAGAGGTCGGAGGTGAACTCACCACCTCTGTCAGAGTGCAAACATAGGACAGGAAGGTCCTGGCAGAACCTACGGCGGAGCTGAAGACGAACTGCTCGGATCCAAGGGATCAGGACAGCAGGCACCTCACCTTTGGTGTGCAAGGGTAAGACCGTGGTGTAACGCGAGTAGTCGTCGACAACCAGCAGAAAGTACTGCTCACCGCCCTGTCCACGAACGTGGGCTGGATCCCACACGTCCATGCGGAGGGTCTGCAGAGGAGCCTCTGTCGGGGGAAACGAGGAGGAGTGAGGAGCGGCGCACTGCCGCCCCTCAACACAAGGAAGACAGGGCAACGCAGGGGAGGTAGGGAGGGGAGGGAGAGACCTCGGAATACCAGACACTAGGAGGCGACGGTGCATGCCACGGAGACGTGGCAAGGAAGGGTGACCCAGGCGGTGATGCCAGAGAAGAGTCTGGTGCGACAAGGAGCGACATGAACAAAGGGAGGCTACCTGACCTGACGCAGACACCTGACCAGTGGCAGCTACCTGAGGGGACGCAGTAGTCAGTGTGTAAAGACTCGACCTTGGCCGACGGGTGAACGTGGCCAGGTGACGGCCAGTCCGAGAGCACGTACAGATCGCCACATGCTGTCCTCCAGGGGTAAAGGTATCAAACCATGCATTCTGGAGGACTGCGTTGCTCACCAGGTTCGTAGAGAATGAGGGGAGGTGAAGAACTGACAGTGAGACAGACGGAATTGCTGGGCACGGAAGCACAGTGGAGGACCGTGCAAGAAATGGGCCCCCTGAGGGGTCGGCCAGAGACACTGCAACAGGTGCAGGGAGTGGCGTGAGTGTGGTAGCGCCACGAAAGAAACAGCGGGAAGTACCTGAGTCAAGCGTGAAGGTGTGCAAGGCCTCAGCAGGCGCAGTACCTGAGAGAGCAGACTCGCTCGCACCTAAGGCAGCAGCCTCACTAGCACCTTGTGCAGCAACCTCTATACCGGGGTCGTACTGCACACACAGGTAACAGACACCCTCAGCACCACCAGGCAAAGCATACATAGTATTAAGGATGGCGTCATTGTCCAAAGCAAAGACATCAACGCCCGACCTAAGCAGCTCAAGCCAGTGTGGGAGCTCAGCCTCGTCGCCAAACTCTGCGTGCCAGGCGTCACTCAAATAGGCGAAGCAGCTGGACTGTGCGTGACCAGGTGTCCCAAAGGTCTGACCAGCTCGACGACCTGTGCGAATGATGTACGGGCAGCGACCAGGACTCGGAGACATCCCACGCAGGTAAAGCCACTCACCAAGCTGCTGGGACGTAAGGGTCGGACGCCGCCGTAGCTGCATCTGGCCACCACCAGAAACTCCGCACCAAACAGCGCCACAGTGACTGCTACTACGGCCGCCACCACTCCCACTGCTGCCACCACCGCCGCCACCACTCCCACCGCTACTAGAGAGTGAAGTCATGGCGGGCAAGCTAGGAGGAGCGCGGCCTCTAGGGCAGTACGGAGTGAAGGCAGTAACACGAGGAGTAGCAGCAGCTGAAAGAGCAGCAGAGCGGCTCGGTGAAGCTAGGCTGCATCACCTCCAGCACTCCTAGCAGCGCCTCCACCACCAGCAGCAGCAGCACGAGCAGCAGGGCGGATCAGGTCGGGTAGGGCGGCTCGGCTTGGCCTGGCAAACACATAAGCTTCGGCTTCAACTTTAATCTCCTTAATCCGACCCTTTCCAAAATCCACAGGCTGCGAAATCACATAAGTCTCCTCCCAGTCCCCGCCACTCATCCTTTCACTACTATATGATGTATCCTTAACATTATGGTAGCCAGCGTACTCAATGATAGCCTCAATAATGTCGTCAGGAAGGGGAGGAAGTGTGCCTTCGAAACCCGTTCGGAACTCCGACACAACTTCGCGAGATTGAGAGACGGACGGGGCGAAGGAAGGGACGAGCCGCATGGAACGTGTATCTGCGTCGGACATAAGATGACGCGCTTCCGAAGAAAAGGAACGAGGAGATTCGGAGCCAGAATCAGATCCCGAAAAGGAGTGGTGGGGAGATTCAGCGGAGGAAATGGAGTGGCGCGGGGAATCTGCCCTAATAAATGTGCGACGCCACATCCCACGCCCAAATCTGAGCTTTCCCCATCGCGGACGGACCATTGCACTAGCAATGACTAGTAATGCCCTAGCATGGTGTTTAGGAGGGTAGGTAAGCAGTGCTGAACCTTCGCTGAAAGATTGGTAAACAATGTCCCACTTCTTCATGATATATCTCCATGATATTCCCCATTGTCAGATAGGGGGTTTAGAGCACGTTACCTCCAAACTCGAAATCGTCGAACATTCATAGCTGAAGTCGGACCTCAAAGAAAGGCGGACCAAACGCGTCATAGGAGAGTGAGAACGTGTGTGATGTGAAGGCGTGACCGACACGGTTCGTTTGAATGCGGTTCAATGAGTTGTAGAATGGTCAAATTAATACATAGAGTGGTTGAGTCGGATGTTGAGCACATGAAGAAATGTCGGACGCGAAACATGCTTGACTTGTGTGACTTGCAACTCTCCGCCACTCCGCTGCAGTCCATTCTAGCTTTCACGTAAGGGGCGTGTCACACGCATTCGTCAGGTTGAGAAAGGTGTAAAACGGCGCGGTTAACTGATACCTAAAAAGTTTGGGTAGGGTATTCGAAAACGCGATCTTCTGTTAACTCCAAAATTTGGGTCGTAAGAGGTCTCGGTCGAGTGCTTCTGAGCACGTTTGAGTATGATTCTGTCTGTAAAAAGAACCCCTGATCTGTGAGCTCTAACTCGAGCTCTGATACGATCTCTGCTACAAGTTGTGACACGAGTCTGACACAAGCTGCTAATAAACCGAGTAACATGTCTCTGCTGACTAAGGTAACATAACGAGTCTTATTTCACGCCTTGATTGTTCCCTGGTACATTCTGTCAACTGCAAAGAGCGCCTAAGAAAACGACCGCGGCGAGAATCATGAGCAGCTACGAGTTTCCTGGCGCCATTGGGATGTTTCAGTCATCTCTCATACGGGGATCCGTGCCGCCATGGCGGGTTCAGCGCGGTCCTGTCAGCGCCTTTCGAGGGTATTCCACGGAAACGTACGATCCCTTTCTCAAAAAGGTTTACAGCCAGGCAAACCCCGTCGGGTTGCCGTCGACTTCGTTTCTCCAGCTGACGCGCCTCGGGAACGTCGACGTCCGTTCACCGATCGCGTTTCATCATTGGCTGAGCCGTCTCCAGAAAATTACCGACGTTTGCCTACAGATTCCGCAAATAAGTTATACTGCGTGACCCCAGCCGACGCGGCGCAATTGTTTGTTCCGCCACTTCTACTACGCTGCGCCGATGACGCGAGCGGAGGCTCTGCGAGGCTGCTATGGCATGGCGCTGGCGGAATTCAAAGCGGCAGAAGGGAAGCAGGCGCGGCAGGTTTTCGCGGATGGGCGGAACAGCGCCGAGTGGGGGGCGTTTGGGTGGAACCCAGGGGGGTGGGGAGCGTGTGGGCGGAACCGCGCATATATCTGCACCATATTACTGTGGAAGAGGAGAAGGTGGGTTGGAGGAGGCAGGGGGGGGAGGGGTAGGGGGGTGGGATAAAAGGGAAGGGGGAGGGTATGGAGAGAAGGTGTTAATTGTGGGGAATGGGGGGGCGGGTAAAGGATGGAGATGAGGAGGGGAAGGGGGGGAAGGGAGAGGAGGATGAGAGCGGCTCGTTAGGGAGACAATGAGATATCGAGCGCACAATACCGGGTGAGAGCAGCAGAGGAAGGGGAGCATCGCATCACTATTCTCCCTCCCTTCCCCCTCCCCACCCGCCATCATCCCCTCCCCCCTTCCTTCATGCGAGCACAAGTATCGGGTGACAGCAGCAGTGGCAGGGAGCTTTGGCCTCACCACTACCCCCCCTCTTCCCCCTCCCGCCACCATCTGCTCCCCCTTTCCATCCCCCCCTTTCCCCTCCCGCCACCATCTGCTCCCCCTTTCCATCCCTCCCTTCCTTCGCCTAGCCTGAGCACAAGTATCAGGTGATAGCAGCAGTGGCAGGGTGCTTTGGCCTCACCACTACCCCCCCTTCCCCCTCCCGCCACCATCTGCTCCCCCTTTCCATCCCCCCCTTTCTTCGCCCAGCCCGAGCACAAGTACCGGGTGACAGCAGCAGTGGCAGGGAGCTTCTTCTGAGAAATTTCAAAAGTCGCATTAATATAGCCTGAGCACAAGTACCGGGTGGCAGCAGCAGTGGCAGGGAGCTTCTACCTCACCACTACTCCTTCCTTTCCCCTTCCCCCACTCAACCCCTTTCCAATTCCCTCGGTTCTCTCATGCAGCCCGAGCACAAGTACCGGGTGAGAGCAGCAGTGGAAGGGGAATCTCGCATCACCACTCTCCCCTTCACCTCCCCACCCCACCTCACCCGCCATCATCCCCTCCCCTTCCCCCCCTCAATTCATTCAGCCTCAGCACAAGTATCGGGTGAGAGCAGTAGTGGAGGGCGGATTTTCGTTCTGCAGCGATCTGGCTCCCATCAATGGCGTGGGCGGCACTTCTCCCACGTGAGAGAAGAAGAGGGAAGGAAGGGGGTAATAGGGGGGGGCGTGGGGGCTAGTGTAGGGTGCAAGGGCAGCAATGGAAGGCGGATTTTCGTTCTGCAGCTATCTGGCTCCCACCAATGGCATGGGTGGCTGCTCCCACGTGAGAGAAGAAGAGAGAATGGGGAGAGGGAAGGGAGGAGGGGGGTGTCAACGGGAGTTGTGTGTTGGCCCCGTCCTCGCTTGGGCGGAGCCGACTTCGTGGTCGGGTGTGAGGGGAGCAGCCGACCTGCAGTAGTGGGCGAGCTGGTTGACGAGGAGGTCGACCTGCACGGGGGACACTGCACGGGCGCCGACTTCAGGGTGGCGCCAACTTCAGGGAGGTCGACCTGGGAAGTCGACCTGCGGAGGGCGTCGACTTGGTGGCGCCAACTTGGGGCAGCCGACTTGGGTGGTCAGCTGACAAGACTACTGGTCGACTTAATGGTTGGTTGACTAGGCGTGATGTTGACCTGGTGGTCGACCTGACCTGGTGGTCGACGGAGGAGGGGCCGACGTCGACCTCGACTCAGGACGCCGAGTAGTTGGGCGTCGAGTAGCAGGGCGTCAACTTGGTGTCGCCGACTTCGGGTAGCCGACTTGGGTGGTCGGCTGATGACTACGCTGGTCGACGTGGAGCTGGTCGACCAAGAGTGATGTCGACATGGAGCTGGTCGACTAGGGGCGTGGTCGATTTGGTGAGGTCGACTTGGGGTGGTCGTCGACTTGGGAGGTCGACGGGCACATACAGGAGCAGCTGGTCGACGCGGTTGCCCGGTCGACCAGGTTACCTGGGTGACGAGGTTTTGCGGAGGAGTGCGACGGTCGCCCAGGCGAAGTTGGCGAGGCCGGCCTTGGTGGTGGTATCCCGAGGTCGACATGGCGGATCAGGTGCGAACGTCAGCACGAGGACGACCTGGTGTGTGCGTTGTGCAAGTGACGAAGCTTAGCCCGCCAATCATCTGCAAGCACCTGCGAAGTAGGTGCGCTGCTGTTCTGCGAGAGCAGCGCTGGCACGCCATCAACCTGCGACGTTGGCACGCCGCCGACTTTGCACTGCTGGAGCGCGGTCGACCAAGTCGTGCTGGAACGCGGTCGACCATGCTGTGCTGGCAGTCGACCGACCTGAATGCTAGCTCTGATGTAGTCTTGTCATGCCAACTTCATTTTACCATTGTTGTCAACGTTCTCTAGTGAAACTCTTGCCAACTTGCCCCGTGAACTAGCAAGCAATGTGTGCGCTAGGAAAACGACTAAGGACCAACGAACGCAGAGATCACACGAGCACTCGTGCCTAGCCCGTAGACTGGCTCCCGTTGTAGTAGTTATCTCCGCAGGGGGGATGTTGGGGTAAGTGTACGGTGTGACGGCAGCAGTGGGAAGGGGGTTATCCTTCTGCAGCAACCTTGCTCGGTACCATGGTTTCAATACGTAGCAGCAACACTTAGGGAAGACACCTTGAGTCGACTCAAAAGTTAGTTTATGATGTGATGGCAGCAGTGGGAAGGCGATTCTCCGTCCTTCTGCAGCGACCTTACTTGCTCCCACCAATGGCGTGGGCGGCACTGCTCCCACGTGAGTAGGGGTGCAAGGAAACGTGGGGGAGGGGGAACCGGGAGACCTCGACAGGGGTACCGGGTGTAGTAGGACATTGACTCGTCGAAACGGACGTCACGGGAGTCTAGGAACTGGTGGAGGGGCGGGTGGTAAAAGGACCAGCTGGCCGAGGCTACCTGGAAACCAAGGAAGACACAGGGGACGGCGCGAGTCAAGAGCTTGTCCGCAGAGGTGTCGTGGACAAGCGCAAGGCAGCCCCAGACACGAAAGGCTGACCCAACACCAAGGGACCCGGTCCAAAGACTGGTCAGTGAAGCCTCTGGCCGCAAGACGCGCGGCTGGAGGTTCAGCTGTCATAATATAATGCTTGTCTAGTCTGTAGTGGGGTACTCAATAGTGAGTATACCCTTTTAGGGCTTGCTATTTGTACCTCCCTCCTTTCTAGTCAATTCCTCCTTTGCCTAATTCTCTCTTGCCTAGCTAGGTAAACCCTAGCTATGGCTCCTTGTTCTAGCTACTATTTTTACATCAGCTGGTGAGCGGCGTAGCGAACCACGTAGGGCCACAGAAAATGGGGCGCACGGGCATGAATCATGGACGTGCGGGCGATGTCCATGACCAAGCCAATGCGGTGCTCAGCAACCCCATTCTGCTGTGGGGACTCCGGCAGCGTCCAAGACTATACGATGCCCTGCTCGCCGCAGAATCCGGCAAGAATGCCTGAGCAAAACTCACTCCCACAGTCATAGTGGAGACAGGAGACATGACGGCCACGATTGCCCTCAGTGGCTAGAAGCCACCGAATCAGTGTAGAAGTCACCTCGGACTTCTTCGCAAGAGGAAACACCATGGAGTACCTGGAAAGGTCGCCGACGACCACCAGAAAGTAGCGCTCCCTCTTAGGACCCTACGTAGGTGCAGGGCCCCAGACATCCAACTGGAGCGTCTGGAAGGGAGCAGTGGCCGGACGAAGGGAGGAGGAGTGCGGAGTGGCACGAAGATGGCCAGCGACGCAAGGAGTGCACGGGGGTGCAGGCGAGGGAGTGAGCGACGGGAAGACGAGAGGGACACGTGAGACAAGACGGTGACTAGCCATAGTGCAGAGGCGGGGGATCGACGGGTGGCCAAGACGGTGGTGCCACAAGACGGTCCGGTGGGTGAAACACCGACATGAGCAAGACGCGGCAACCTAACCAGACACGACAACCGGAGGGGACATAGCTACCTGACTGGACTCGACAACTGGCGGAGGCGCAGGAATCTGGGGGGACGCAGCGACCTGAGGTGACGTGGACACCGAGGAGTGCTCGGTGTGGAGGACGTAGAGACCGGAGCGCGGCTCCCTGGTGAAAGTGGCCAAAACTCTGCCAGTGACAGCATCCGTACAGGCTGCAATCCGCCCACCCCCCACAATGGTAACGGTGATCCCCCTGTCCTGGAGGTATCCAACACCCACCAAGTTCCGAGTGAACAAGGGGATGTGGAGGCCGCGCAGGACATCAAGGGGGACTACATGGCACGGGAGGGTGGTAGAGTTGCGTGCCACGGCTGGTCCTGAGGAAGGATCAGCCAGGGCTACCAGTACAGGAGCATGGAGCGGTGTGAGTGTCGTGTGGTCGCGGAAGAAGCACTGCGACGCGCCAGAGTCCAGCATGAAAGACAGGGACGCCACAGCCTGTGGTGAACCTGGTGTGGAAGCTACACAAGCACCAAGAGCAAAAACACAAGCACCTAGACTAGAGAAGCACAAGTCTACATAGCAGGAGGCAAGCAAGCTAATCTACGAACACGCGAGCACACAGATCCATCAGCACTATAGGCAACATCAGCATACAAAGCATACTGACGAGCATCATCCATAGACAGATCAAAGATAGGAATCTTACAGGCTAACAGGCGAGCCCAGCGCGGAGTGGTCGCCTCAGGGCCCCAACGGGCACGGTAGAGGTCATCGAGGCGGCGAAAGCACCGTGCGGCAGAGTGGTCGTCGCGGCCGCAGACACAGAGGCTGCCCGGTCCGGTGAGGCACCAGTGATCACAGGGGCCGGTGTCACGGCGAGGGGGGCGAGGGGCCCAGCTGGAACTGCTGCTGCTGCAGCCGGAGGTCCCTGGTCCTCCCGGACCCCACTGCGGCGGGGGACCCTAGTGCTGCTGCAGACCCCACTGCAGTGGGGGCCCCCAAGGCTAGAACTGCTGCTGTGCCTGCTGCTGCTGCTGTCCCTGCTGCTGCTGCTGTCTCTGCTGTGGCTGGTGCTGCTGTGGCTGCTGCTGCTGAGGTCCGACACCCCCGCCGGTATGAACACTGCTAGGAGGCGGGCCTGTCTGTCTTGCACCTCCTCCAAGGCTCCCTCCTCCTGGGTCACCGCCGCCGCCGCCACCACCACCACCGCTCCCAGCTCCACCGCCACCTCCACCTCCCTTCCCACCCTTCTTGCCACTCTTGCCACGTTTCTGCCAATCAGCGGCAGAGATGGCAGCAGTGTCCTAATAGCAGTGAAAGTGGGAAGCTGAGGGGCGGCACACCCCGCAAAAAGACGGGGGGGCACTGCGTCAGTGGCGGAGGCAACGGAGAGGAGGTTACTCTCGATCTTCCCGAGAGCGGTCTCAAGGAGATCGATAGTAAGCTCAGTGGGGTGCTTCTGGAGAGGCACGTTGCGAGAAGTAGCGAGGCAGTCAGGGAGACGTGTGACTAACCAGTGCACAGTGAGCCACATGGAGGGGGAGCAACAAGAAGCTGGGCATCGGTGCAGGCCGCACGGAAACCGGCGTCAAGTGAACGCAGGTGAGTCACGTGGTCGAACGCAGTCACAAACGAGCCAAGGTCGGGAAACACGAACGGCATGAGGAGGCGACTGAGGGAGGCAGAGGAAGGGGTGGAATAGCGCGCAACAACAGCATCCCAAATCCCCTGCGCAGTCTCCAGCTGGGCAAAGTGGACGGCCTCAGTCGGTGGGAGGAGCTCCGTCAGCGCAAGAGCAGTGGCAGCGTCGCGAGAGTCCCACACGTCCCTCGCCAAGACACGACGGTCATAGTCCGCCTGCGCCGCAGGAGTCGGCTCCGGGTCGCTCGGGAGGGGGTCGGGAGACAGGAGCGCCTTGAGGGCACCAGACGCGTGGGCCCACAGGGTGGCGCCGTCCTGACGCTGACTGGTGAGGTAGTGCGTGGCCTAGCGCTGCCAGGTACTGAACTCGACCGGGCGGCCCTCCGCATCGAAACGAAGGCGGCGGGACTTCATGCTGGAAGCTAGGCTAGAGGCGGCTGGAGCACGGAGGAGAAAAAACAAAGAGTCCTAGGGGTGCTAGTGGAGACCAAGGGAGAGACCGGCGGAGGACGGAGCAGACTAAGCGAGGCGGGAAACTGGAGGCTAGGAGCTAGGCTAGAGACTAGTCTACATAGGGTCACCAGGGAGAGGAGCGGCTGCCAGCCGCTGAGCAGAAGGCCAGTGACAGTAGGGGACGGTTCGGGCCCGGTGAACAGGGCGGTGGAGGGGTTAACCCTAAAATGACCACGGGCCTGGTGAGAGTTCGGGCCGGGCGGCGCAGGGCGAGGGCTAGTGCTAACGGAGGAAGGGGCGTGGGCAGAGGGCGGGCTAGGCGCTGCCTGGGGCGCGGGTTGGTGCGTGGGCTAAGCGCGGGCTGGTGCGTGGGCTAGGCGCGGGCGAAGGGCAGGCCAGGCGCGGGTTAGGTGCGGGCTCGGGCTAGGCGCGGGCTGGTGCGCGGGCGTGCACTAAGGGAGGGCGCGGAGATGCGGAGGCGGAGGCGCGGATGCGCGAGGCGCGGAGGCACGAGGCGGAGGTGCGGATGCGCGAGCTAGGGCGCGGGCCTGGGCGACGGGCTAGGGCGTGGGCCTGGGCGACGGGCTAGGGCGCGGGCTGGGGCGAAGGGCTAGGGCGTGGGCCTAGGCGACGGCTAGGGCGTGGGCTGGGGCGACGGGCTAGGGCGTGGGCCTGGGCGACGGGCTAGGGCGCGGGCTTGGGCGACAGGCTAGGGCGCGGGCTGGGGCGACGGGCTAGGGCGTGGGTCTGGGCGACGGGCTAGGGGCGCAGGCTAGGGGCACAAGCTAGGGGCGTGGAGGGTGCTAGGTGCGGAGGTCTGCGACGGCGCGGGCTAGGGGCGCGGAGGGCGCTGACGCGCGGAGGAGGAGGGCGCGCTAAGGCACGGAGAGGGCGCGGAGGGCGCGGAGGCTAAGGCTCGGAGGGAGCGGAGGTGCGCTAGAGAGGGCGCGGGCTAGGAAGTAACGAGGAACTTGTTGGAAACAGGTGATTTAAGCGCATCTGTCGTGTCGAAACACTAAGTCATAAACGAAGCAAAACACAGCGAAGCATCGGCGAGTCAACCCTCGGAGGTTGAACAACTGCTGAGAGGTTACGCGAAAGTCAAAGGTCAGCGACCTTTGACCTAACAAGTACAGTGCGACACCAAGGACAAACAACTGACTCGATATTGAGCAGTTGTCCGAGTCGTCACTGTATCGAACCGCAACAGCAACAGTAAAACAGTTATTAGCTATAACCCTTCATATTCCCTTGTACTCTTATAAAAGCTTGTATCTCTTTGTTTTAATCAATCTACTTTGCCCTCACATACCAGCGCAAGGTGGTTCACAGACTCATCATTAAACGCTTCCGCTATTACATTGTATCTACTTAGAGTTCAGTCCTGCAAAGATCCTAAGGGCTTTTTCTCAGCCCAACATGGTATGAGAGCAGTTAGGGCAAACTCCACTATCAAGACACCTACAACATCAGAAGGCATGGCTACATAGAAGGAGAGAAGCTCCTCTAACGGCTCTCCCGGCACTACTCCTACTCCACCTCCTGCCTCTGGCCTACAGACAGAGAAGGGCACGGCAACAAGACCAGCAGCTGGGTCTACTGAAACTCCCGCAAATCAAGCCGCGGGCTTCGACCCAAGCATGATGGAGAAGTTCTTCTCCTTCATGTCCTTCTACGAACAACACCAGCAAACGGCACCTGCGCAGTCAAACAACAGCAACAACAACAACAACGAAGTAACGCCCATGAGTCTCGACGGCTCATCCTATGCGCGCGGAAATCAGCAGCAGCAGCCTACCTTTGCTCCGTACGAGCCCTAGCGTGGCTCCATCAGTTTCATGCCGCACCAGCAACCCTCACCTGGACAAGAGAAAACGTTAGATGCACTTCAAGTCCAGTTGCAGTTTGCGCACGTCTTAAAACTTCAGACATCAAGACCGTTCGACGGGAAGGATTTCTTTACTTGGTCATTCGAGTTCGAGCTGATGATGGAAGGCGCGCAAATTCTTGGTTCCTTCGACGGGTCCCTACCATATCCAACACACGGCACACAGTATGACAAGCAGCAGTACACATATCAGTCAATGATGGCATACACAATTCTGCTGAGGAACATCACTCCGAATCAGCAGCAGAACATTCGGTCTTACCGGGGATACGGCAACTCCGCCGAGCTCGCGTACAATCACCTGAAGAACCTGTATCAGGCAAAAGACAGCATCAATCAGAGTCGGTTAATGGCACAACTGACAACAGTGGAAATGAAACCGGGCAAAAAGGGGATGTCGTATATCAGTCGCTGTCGCGAATTGCGCGACAAGCTTCTTTGATGCGGAGGGACGATATCCGAAGACGCCTTCGTCACAGTCGTCATCACGGGACTTGGTCCTCATTGGCGATCCACTCGAGCTATTCTTTGAGCCCACGGGACGATCTCTGAAGCGGCACTCTGCGCCGAAATTCACGCCGAACAGCAAGACATGGATCTGCATGAGGAACGACACAAGAAGAAGACATTAGTACCTGAGTTCGCATTTCACACCCAACGGCGCTTTAACAACTCCAATCGACAGAATAAGCAACAACAGCAGCAGCACGTACCACCGTTTTGTCATCTCTGCAAGACGTCTGGACACCCCCGTACACACTGTCCGAGTTTGCGACAGTCAACAACGCCACAACGACAGCTTCGACCTTCAAGCAGCCAAGTCGCCTCAACACAAGCACACCCTGCTTCTCAAGCCCAAGCCTCGACAACGTCGAAAACTCAACCTGCACAAGGGACGAGAAACATAGTGAGCTGCATGGCGAGACTATCGGACTCCTGCATCACTGAGTCACCACCATATTACTCACCAGAAGAGCAACTTGACGAAAGCACTCCTCGACGCGAGACACTGGAGCCGAACCCAACATACGCAGCCATTGCCCAGGGCGAGCCATCCGGGAAAGACACCTGATTCTTGGACAAATGCTGCGGGCAGCATATGTGCTCCTCGGGTCGTTTCGTTCAACGCGAACACCAACTTCAGCGCGAAGTCGTCATCACCGTCGCCAACAATCAGAACCTGCGCACACGACGACAGGGCATAGTGCAGCTTCAGTCACGAGAGACAAACGTCATACTGCAAATGTCAAAGGTTTTAATTGTGGAGGGACTCGGCTACAACTTACTGGGTGTCAGTCAGCTGATGGCGAAAGGTATCCACCTCGAAGCAGACAGCACAACATAGGAGTTCAAGCTGTACCACAGGAGAGGAGGCCTCTACATCGGCAAGGCCGTGCTGAAGAACGACGTGTTCGTCCTCGACTTCGTTCCAGATTTAGGCACCGCCGACAGTGACGGAATCGTCACCTTCACCTCTTGGACACATCCACCAGATCTCGATCCTGACTTCAGCCCCGAAGGTTTCTGGTATTCGCACACCATCCCTGAGGCAGAACGAACAAGAGCATTAGCGACGATTCAACATTCGACAGCAGCAGAGACAACATCTGCAGCAGGAGAGACAACATCGGCAGCAGCAGAGACAACATCGGCAACAACAGAAACAACGTCAGCAGCAGCAGCAGAGATAACGGTAACAGTAGCGGCAACATCAACACCAATCGCTGGTCCTTCAACGGCACCAATCTTCATCGACGACACACCACCGACTCCCGCGCAGCAGCTGAATCCGACTCAACGAGAAGTCCATCGAAGCGCCAACTTCACCGCCAGCTTGTATTCCAACTCCGACCTGTATCGACGCTCACCCGGACATCGCGCCACCGAAGGAACCTGGCACGCAAGAATGGGACATCCAAGCAACACGGTGTTAAATAACACGATTAGAGCAGGCGTGCTCGACAAAGATTCCCTAATTCTAACTGACGGCAGAGAACTCCAGCGAGTCCGCGAAACATGCTTCACCTGTCCTGAAGCCAACTTACCGCATCAGCCGTTCGTTTCTCACCACAACCCGAGCGCACCAGCTTACGCACCACTTGAGAAAGTGTACAGCTCAAGTACAGCGCGACAGCAAGGACAAACAACTGACTCGTTATTGAGCAGTTGCCCGAGTCGTCACTGTATCGAAACGCAACAGCAACAGTAAAATAGTTATTAGCTATAACCCTTCACATTCCCTTGTACTCTTATAAAAGCTTGTATCTCTTTATTTTAATCAATCTACTTTGCCCTCACATACCAGCGCAAGGTGGTTCACGGACTCATCATTAAACGCTCCCGCTATTACATTGTTTCTCCTTAGAGTTTAGTCCCGCAAAGATCCTAAGGGCTTTTTCTCAGCCCAACAGAACTAACCTACTCGTGATACCATCTCAAAGTAGGAATGCAACGGAATGATGAGATTAGGAATGTGGGTGATACAAATAGCAAACCCTAACTGAGTTGTACTCACTAAGGAGCACCTCACTACAGCCTATCATAAATATCAACATTTGACATCGAGACCTTTGTTGATTACGAGTGGCATATTTTCCCCTACCAAAATGTAGTGCACCAACTGTAGTGTACCAGATGCGTATACACTAGCACAACCTTTATAACGTGTAATGTACCTGTGAGACTGCATTGCTTGTTCAAGAGCATTTCATCCAGTCCCTCTGAAGTGTAGAATTTTGTTGGCTTCACAGTTGAAAGCCTGCACAACTAGTCAGGAACATGTGCTGTAGGTTCAGTTCACATGATTGTATAGTGCTTAGTTAATTCACTTCAAGATATATACACACAATAGCATGGCATGGCATACCATACACAGCAAGAGAGTGGGTCAGCCGACTTGCTAACTTTAGGGAAAGGGGAGACAAGTGGCATGGGACACAATTCACAGCAAGCTAATGGGTCAGGCTCAGCTGCCTCGGTAGGTGGAGTAGGAGAAGGGGGAGAGCAGCAGCGGCACGTGAAAATGCTCCCTCTCTTGCTCTGGCAGCACTTGGAACACTATAGACACACTCGGGAAGAACCCACCACCATTGCCACTGCTAACTTGTGCGTTTCCAGCCACTCTTGTGCCATGCATCAGCCCAAGATACTCCCCAGTTGCAAAGCTCAGACGATAAATCCCAGCCCCCACCCCTCCACCTGCCAGCAACCCAGCAGCCCTGCCATCCGCATTCGCCCCTTCTCCCACTCGCTCCCATCCCAACCGCACACCACCACTCTCACCGCTCCCACCAGTTTCACTCTTGACCTCCCTGCTCCCCTTTCTGGCTTCTATCTGTTTCTCCAGCAGCACTTTGATGCCGGGAGCGGGTCTGCCTCGAGTCACGTCGAGCACATGCGTGGAGATGGACGGATGCTTGCCACATGCAGTGGGTGTGACTGTAGTCGGCGGAGTTGTAGTTGGTACAGATGTGGTTGGAACACCTGGAGTGCGCACACGGAAGCAGAAAAGAGGAGGGAATTAGGGGTAGAAGATTCAGGGTTGGATTCAGCTGTGGTTGAATAACACAAGGCTGGCTCAGGAGGGAAGCTGCATTCACTTTGATGCCAGCAGCGGGTCTGACCAGAGCCACATCCAGCACGTGCGTGGAGATGGATGGAGGCTTGGCGGTTGCACTGGGTGTGACTGTAGCGGGTGTGACTGCAGCGGGTGTGACTGCAGCGGGTGTGACTGCAGCGGGTGTGACTATAGCGGATGGTATTGTAGCGGGTACAGTTGTGGCAGGAACACCTGGGGTGAGCAGAGGGATGCAAAAAGAAAAGGAGGGGAGTAGGGAATCCAGGGCAGGATGAGGAAGAACACAAGGTTGGGTCCCGGATGAGTGTAGTGAAGGTTTGCTCAAGGAACGTGCTGCATCCACTGGGGGATGTAGGATGTAGGAAATTCAGGGCAGGATGAGGAAGAACACAAGGTTGGTTCTGGAATGAGTGAAGTGAAGGTTTGCTCAAGCGGTTGCTACATCCACTGGAATGCCTGTGAAAGAACAAGGAATGAATGCACTAGGAAACAGGTGGGTACAAGTGGGAAAACCTAAAAGTGTTGTACCCCACTACAGCCTACACAGACTATAGCATATAAGTTCGACACACCCCCATAGGCAAAGTGGGGGAGAACAAGAGGTCACAAGACCAGTCAAGCAAAGCACAGTAAGCTCAGGGTGGATCACAACATCACCACACATTCCGAGCACAAGTTCAAGGCCACAAGGCCAGTTCACATGCAAGATTATATATAAAGGTAAACAAGCAAGTGCAGGTATAGATAGATCACAGTACAAGCAAGGTCAAGAAGTGAGCAAGTAAGCAAGGCGCAGCTGACCACGCTGCTGCAGCTCACGAGCAAGGAAGTAGCAAAGAGCAATGTGCTTCGTTCTGTGCTCTAGTCTGTGCTCCCGACACAAGGCCAGCATGGCCTTGTTGTCTACGTACAGAATTGGAGGAGAACGAGGCTGCTCTCCTAGGTCAGTCAGCAGGTAGGTGAGCCAGCGTAGCTCCTGTGCAGCCATGGCCCCCGCGTAGATCTCAGCCTCACAGCTGGAGCCGAGAACAGAAGACAAGCGGGTAGCCCGCCACGAAACAGAGCCGGAACCAAGGCTGAAAGTGTAACCCTGTGACGACCGCTGCGTAGCCTGGTCGTCAGCCCAAGAAGCGTCTGCGTGACCTGTGAGGACCACTCGACGTCGCCCTCCAAGCACTAGCCCCATGCCCGACGTACTGCACAAGTAGCGCAACACCCTCTTCGCTGCAGCCATGTGCTCTGGTCGGTGTCTCCCAGGAGCAACATAGCGTGCCAAGATGCTAAGAGGGTATGCGAGGTCAGGTCGTGTGCAGGTCATCAGGTACATGAGGCAGCCAACAAGCTCTGGGTACGGGCCACTCGGCTCTACGGACTCATCCGAAGGCAGAGCTGAGAGCGAGTGGCGAGTAGACAGAGGAGTGGCCTGAGGCGAGGAGTACGTGAAGTCGAAGCGCTGAAGGACCTGCTGCACCATGTGTGACTCAGGGTAATGGTGCGCTGTGCTCTGTCCCGGGTGATCTGCAAGCCAAGGTAGCTGCGCAGTTCACCCAGGTCTGTGCACGTGTGTCTCTTCTGCAGCTCGGACTTCACGTGGGCGAGTCCAGCAGTGTCAGCAGTGGCAAAGACCAAGTCGTCGACGTACACGAGGATGTAGAACGGCGGCAAAGAGGTGTCGGTGCGTAGAAACAGCGACGGGTCGGCAGTAGAAGGAGCAAACCCAAGAGCCGCAAGTGTAGTCCTCAGTGTGTCGTGCCACTCACGGGGCACCTGGCGGAGACCGTAGACTGGCCGCTCGAGGCTCCACTGGGTACCAGGAGGAAACGACCCAGTGAAGCCAGGTGGGCGGCGCAGCCAGATCTCCTCGTGCAGGCTGCCCTGCAAGAAAGCTGTGCTGAAGTCAAGAGAGTGAAGCTCGTAGTCGCGGTGAGCGGCTATGTGCAGCAGCACCCGAAGAGTGGTCATCTTCGGGGTGGGAGAGAAGGTCTGAAAGTAGTCAACTCCCTGCCGCTGACTGAAGCCTCGAGCCATGTAACGCGCCTTGAAGACAGGCGGAGAACCCGGCGGCCGCTTCACCCTGAAAATCCACATGCCACTGACGATGTTCGCCCCAGGTGGGGGAACCTCGTCGACGTAGGTGCCTGTGGACTTCCAGAGTCGGGATGTCTGGTGCATCCGGGTCTCCCTCAGTGGCAATCAGCATGGACACGAGATGAGGCAAAGCAGCAGAAAAACACTGGAACTCCTCCTGCCTGTCTTCAAGGACGTCCGTGCTAAGAGCACACTCACCCCCGACGGACGGAGGACAGACAGACTCAGACTCAGCAACAAGACTAGCAGCGTAGTCTAGACGACAGCGAGCAGCAAAGTCGACAAGCTCAGCAACTAAGGCAGACGCAGCAGTGGACTCAAAGGAAGGGTCAGTGACAGCAGTAGCCAGAAGACGCGTGACAGTAGGACTGGCAGCACAAAGGGAGTCAGACTCCGGGTCAGCAAGAGCAGGAAGAGAGGACTCTGGAGGAGACGACAAAGGTACACGCAGTGGAGCAGTGGAAGGACGCAGCGCCATCTGGTGTGTGCCCGGGACCGCAGGAGGACGCGGACGTGGAGCACGACGACTAGTGCGAGCAGCACGAACAGGCGACGCAGGACGAGACGCAGGCTCACGACGCTCAGCAAGACCTCCAGTAGGACCAGTGTAGGGAGAAGGAGCAGGCAGTGGGGAGGCGGGCTGTAACTGTGACAACGACTGGACAGGCGGTGGACACTCTAAGGAAGGAGTGGGACTAGTAGAAGGCGGGAGACCAAGAACCTGCTCAAGGAGCGGAACGAAGTACGGCCGCGGCCGCGCAGCGCCTCCAGAACCAGCAGGGACAGCACCAGTACCCCCAGCGGCAGCACCAGCGCGAGCAGCACCTCCAGCTCCAGCAGCGCCAACTCCAGAACCCTCAGAAGTACCAGCACCAGCAGCACCTCCAGCGCCAACACCCCCAGCAGCTCCAGCTCCAGTAGTTCCAGCAGCACCTACTCCTCCAGTACCGCCAGCAGCTCCAGCACCAGGAGCACCCCCAGGCCCAGCACCTCCAGTACCCCCAGCAGCACCAGCAGCTCCAGTACCTCCAGCAGCACCAGCAGCACCTCCAGCACGACCAGCTCCAGCAGCTCTAGCAGCACCCCC